CACATGGGGAGGTAAGACAGACACATGGGGAAGTAAGACAGACACATGGGGAGTAACACATACACGTGGGAAGGTAAGACAGACACATGGGGAGGTAAGACATACACGTGGGGAGGTAAGACAGACACGTGGGGAGGTAAGACAGACACATGGGGAGGTAAGACAGACACATGGGGGAGTAACACATACACATGGGGGAGGTAAGACAGACACATGGAGATAACACATACACGGGGAGGTAAGACATACACGTGGGGAGGTAAGACAGACACATGGGGAGTAACACATACACATGGGGAGGTAAGACAGACACATGGGAGAGTAACACATACACGTGGGGAGTAAGACATACACGGGGAGGTGACATACACGTGGGGAGGTAAGACATACACGTGGGGAGGTAAGACAGACACATGAGTAACACATACACGTGGGGAGGTAAGACAGACACATGGGGAGGTAAGACAGACACATGGGGAGTAAACAACACACTTGGGGGAAGTAAGACAGACACATGGGGAGGTAAGAGAGACACATGGGGAGTAACACATACGCTGGGAGGTAAGAAGACATATGGGGAGGTAAGACAGACACATGGGGAGGTAAGACATACACGGGAGGTAAGACATACACATGGGGAGGTAAGACATACACGTGGGAGGTAAGACATACACGGGGAGTAAAACATACACGTGGGGAGGTAAGACATACACATGGGGAGGTAAGACATACACGTGGGGAGAGTAAAACATACACGTGGGGGGGTAAGACATACACGTGGGGAGGTAAGACATACACGTGGGGAGGTAAGACATACACGTGGGGAGGTAAGACATACCGTGGGGAGGTAAGACATACACGGGGGGAGTAAAACATACACGTGGGGAGGTAAGACATACACGTGGGGAGGTAAGATACACACGTGGGAGGTAAGACATACACATGGGGGAGGTAAGACAGACACATGGGGAGGTAAGACAGACATGGGGAGGTAAGACATACACGTGGGGAGGTAAGACAGACACATGGGGAGTAACACATACACGTGGGGAGGTAAGACAGACACATGGGGAGGTAAGACATACACGTGGGGAGGTAAGACAGACACGTGGGGAGGTACAGACATATGGGGTGGTTAGACAGGGGAGAACATATACACATGGGGAGGTAAGAAGACACATGGGGAGTAACACATACACGTGGGGAGGTAAGACATACACACGTGGGGGAGTAAAACATACACGTGGGGAGGTAAGACATACACGTGGGGAGGTAAGACAGACACATGGGGAGTAACACATACACGTGGGAGGTAAGACAGACACACATGGGAGGTAAGACATACACGGGAGGTAAGACAGACACGGGGAGGTAAGACAGACACATGGGGAGGTAAGACAGACAAGGGGAGTAAGACATACACGTGGGGAGGTAAGACACACGTGGGGAGGTAAGACATACACGTGGGGAGGTAAGACATACACGTGGGGAGTAAGACACACGTGGGGAGGTAAGACATACACGTGGGGAGGTAAGACAGACACATGGGGAGGTAAAAGACATACCGTGGGGAGGTAAGACAGACACGTGGGAGGTAAGACATACACGTGGGAGGTAAGACATACACGTGGGGGAGGTAACACGAACGTGGGGAGGTAAGACAATACACGTGGGGAGGTAAGACAGACACGTGGGAGGTAAGACAGACACGTGGGAGGTAAGACATACGTGGGAGTAAGACAGACACGTGGGAGGTAAGACATACACGTGGGAGGGTAAGACAGACACGTGGGGAGGTAAGACAGACACATGGGGAGGTAAGACAACACGTGGGGGGTAAGACAGACACGTGGGGAGGTAACAGTGAGGTAAGACACACGTGGGAGAACACATGGGGAGGTAAGACATACACGTGGGGAGGTAAGACAGACACGTGGGGAGGTAAACAGACACGTGGGGAGTGAACACACACATGGGGAGGTAAGACAGACACGTGGGGAGGTAAGACAGACACATGGGGGTAAGACAAGGAACAGGAGGAAATACACGTGGGGTAAGACAGACACGTGGGGAGGTAAGACAGACACGTGGGGAGGTAAAGACAGAACACATGGGGAGGTAAGACATACACGTGGGGAGGTAAGACAGACACGTGGGGAGGTAAGACAGACACGTGGGGAGGTAAGACAGACACGTGGGGAGGTAAGACAGACACGTGGGGAGTGAACATACACGTGGGGAGGTAAGACAGACACGTGGGGAGGTAAGACATACACGTGGGGAGGTAAAGACAACGTGGGGAGGTAAGACAGACACGTGGGAGGTAAACAGACACGTGGGGAGTAAGACAGACACGTGGGGGAGGTAAGACAGACACGTGGGGAGGTAAGACAGACACGTGGGGAGGTAAGACAGACACGTGGAGAGTAGACAGACACATGGGGAGGTAAGACAGACACGTGGGGAGGTAAGACAGACACGTGGGAGAGTAAACAGACACGTGGGAGGTAGACGAACACGTGGGGAGGTAAGACAGACACATGGGGAGGTAAGACAGACACGTGGGGAGGGTAAGACAGACACAGGGGAGGTAAGACAGACACGTGGAGGTAAGACAGACACGTGGGAGTAAGACAGACACGTGGGGAGGTAAGACAGACACGTGGGAGGTAAGACATACACGTGGGGAGGTAAGACAGACACGTGGGGAGGTAAGACAGACGTGGGAGGTAACATACACGTGGGGAGGTAAGACAGACACGTGGGAGGTAAGACATACACGTGGGGAGGTAAGACAGACACGTGGGGAGGTAAGACAGACACGTGGGGAGGTAAGACAGACACATGGGAGGTAAGACAGACACGTGGGGAGTAAGACAGACACGTGGGGAGGTAAGACATACACGTGGGGAGGTAAGACAGACACGTGGGGAGGTAAGACATACACGTGGGGAGGTAAGACAGACACATGGGGGAGGTAAGACAGACACGTGGGGAGGTAAGACAGACACATGGGGAGTAAGACATACATGGAGGTAAGACAGACACGTGGGAGGTAAGACAGACACGTGGGGAGGAGTAACAGACACATGGGGGAGTAAGACAGACACAGTGGGGAGAATGGAACAGACACGTGGGGAGGTAAGACAGACACATGGGGAGGTAAGACAGACACATGGGGAGAGTGAACAGACACATGGGGAGGTAGACAGACACACATGGGGAGAGTAAACAGACACGTGGGGAGGTAAGACATACACGTGGGGAGGTAAGACAGACACATGGGGGAGGTAAGACAGACACGTGGGGAGGTAAGACAGACACGTGAGGTAAGACAGACACGTGGGGAGGTAAGACAGACATGGGAAGTAAGACAGACACGTGGGGAGGTAAGACAACACGTGAGGTAACACATACGTGGGGGAGGTAAGACAGACACATGGGGAGGTAAGACAGACATGGGGAGGTAAGAACAGACACGTGGGGGTAAGACAGACACGTGGGAGGTAAGACAGACACATGGGGAGGTAAGACAGACATGGGGAGGTAAGACAGACACATGGGGATGCTACATACACGTGGGGAGGTAAGACAGACACATGGGAGTAAACATACACGTGGGGAGTAAGACAGACACACATGGGGGTAAGACAATACACGTGGGGGTAAGACAGACACATGGGAGGTAAGACAGACACATGGGGGTAACACATACACGTGGGGAGGTAAGACAGACACATGGGGTAACACATACACGTGGGGAGGTAAGACAGACATGGGGAGGTAAGACATACACGTGGGGAGGTAAGACAGACACATGGGGAGGTAAGACATACACGTGGGGAGGTAAGACAGACACATGGGGAGGTAAGACATACACGTGGGGAGGTAAGACATACACGTGGGGAGTAAGACATACACGTGGGGAGGTAAGACAACACATGGGGAGTAACACATACACGTGGGGAGGTAAGACAGACACATGGGGGAGTAACACATACACGTGGGGAGGTAAGACAGACATGGGGAGAGTAACACATACACGTGGGGAGTAAGACAGACACATGGGGAAGACATACACGTGGGGAGGTAAGACAGACATGGGGGAGTAACACATACACGTGGGAGGTAAGACAGACTACGTGGGGTAACACATATACACGTGGGGAGGTAAGACAGACACATGGAGTAACAAACGTGGGAGGTAAAACATATACACGCAGGGAGGTAAGACAGACACATGGGGAGGTAAGACAGATACATGGGGAGTTAAGACAGATACATGGGAGCACCAATCCAGCCTCCAGGAGCACCCAGCCTCCAGGAGCACCACCCAGGCTGGGCACCATCCAGCCTCCAGGAGCACCACCCAGCTCCGGGCACCACCCAGCCTCCAGGGGCACCACCCAGCCTCCAGCAGGAGCACCACCCAGCCTCCAGGAGCACCACCCAGAGCCCAGGAGCACCACCACCAGCCCAGGAGCACCACTCCAGCCTCCAGGGCACCATCCAGCATTCCGGCACCATCCAGCCTGTGAGCACCACCCAGCCTCCTGGGCAAATCTTTCATCCAGCCTCCAGGGGCAAATCTTCATCCAGCCTCCAGGAGCACCACCCAGCCTCCAGGAGCACCAACCAGCCTCCAGGAGCACCATCCAGCCTCCGTGGGCACCCATCCAGCTTCCGGGAGCACCATCCAGCCTCCAGGGAAACCAGGCAACCTCCAGGAAACCATCTACTTCCAGGAAACCACACACAGCCTCCGGGCACCACTCGCTTCCAGGAGCACCACCCAGTTTCCAGGAGCACCACCAGCTCCAGGGGCACCCACACCCAACCTCCAGGAGCACCACACCCAGCCTCCAGGAGCACCCCACCCCACCTCCGGGGCACCATCCAGCCTCCGTGGGCACCACACCCAGCCTGGAGCACCACCCAGCCTCCAGGAAAACCAGGCAACCTCGAGGGAAACCATCTACTCAGGAAAAACTTCAATACAGCTCCGGGGGCACCACACTCAGTTTCCAGGAGCACCACGCAGTTTCCAGGAGCAATCCACCCAGCCCAGGGCACCCTCACCCAACCTCCAGGGGGCACTCACCCAGCCTCCAGGAGCACCACCCAACCTCGGGGCACCACCCAGAATCCAGGAGCACCACCCAGTCCTCCGGGAGCACCACCGAGCCCAGGGCCACCCAGTCCTCCGAGCACCACTGAGCCTCCGGGAGCACCACCCAGCCTCCAGGGGCACCATCCAGGCCTCCGGGGCACCACCAACCTCGGGGGCACCACCCAGAATCCAGGAGCACCACCCAGTCCTCCGGGAGCACCACCCAGTCCTCCGGGAGCACCACCGAGCCCGGGAGCCACCCAGTCCCTCCGGGAGCACCACCGAGCTCCGGGAGCCACCCCACACCAGCCTCCAGGGGCACCATCCACCTCCGGGGGCACCCTGGGCACCCAGCCTCCCGGGAGCACCCTACCCCAGCCTCCCAGGGGCCACTCTACCCAGCCTCCAGAGCACCACCCAGCCTCCAGTAGCACCACCGAGCCTCCAGGGCCACCACCCAGCCTCCGGGAGCACCACCTAGCCCAGGGCACCATCCAGCCTGGGAGCACCACCCAGCCTCCAGGAGCCCCACTCCAGCCTCCAGGGCCACCACCCAGCCTCCAGGGCACCACACCCAGCCTCCAGGAGCACCACACTGAGCCTCCAGGGCCACAACCCAGCCTCCGGGGAGCACCACCCAGCCTCCAGGGCCACCACCCAGCCTCCAGGAAGCACCACCGAGCCTGAGGGCCACCACCCAGCCTCCAGGAGCAATACCGAGCTTCCAGTCACACCCAGCCTCCAGGGCCACCACTCCAGCCTCCAGGAGCACCACACCCACCTCCAGCGCCACCACCCTAGCCCCTGGGGGTACCCTAAATGAGCTCTCCTGGAGCACCACCAGCCTCCAGGAGCACCCCACCCAGCCTCCAGGAGCACCACCCAGCCTCCAGGAGTACCACACTCAGCCTCCAGGGAGCAATCTCACACCCAGCCTCCAGGAGCAAGCACCCACCCAGCCTCCAGGGAGCACCACACCCAGCTCTCCGGAGCACCACACCCAGCCTCCGAGAGGGCACCACCGAGCCTCCGGGAGCACCACCCAGCCTCAGGAGCACCACCCAGCCTCCAGGAGCACCACCCAGCCTCCAGGAGTTCACCCAGCCTCCAGGAGCAATTCACACCCAGCCTCCAGGAGCACCACCCAGCTCCAGGAGCACCCTGCCACACCACCCAGCCTCCGGAGCACCACACCCAGCCTCCAGGAGCACCACCCAGCCTCCGGGAGCACCACACTCCAGCCTCCAGGAGCACCACCCAGCCTCCAGGAGCACCCTCACCCTGCCTCCGGGAGCATCTCACACCCAGCCTCCAGGAGCACCACACCCAGCCCAGGAGCAATCTCACCCAGCCTCCGAGAGCACCACTCCAGCCTCCAGGAGCACCACTCCAGCCTCCAGGAGAGCACCACCCAGCCTCCAGGAGCATCTCACCCAGCCTCCAGGAGCACCACCCAGCCTCCAGGAACACCACCCAGCCTCCAGGCCCACCCAGTCTCCAGGAGCACCACCCAGCCTCCAGGAGCACCACACCCAGCCTCCAGGAGCATCTCACACACCCAGCCTCCAGGAGCACCACCAGCTCCAGGGAGCACCACCCAGCTCCAGGAGCACCACCCAGCCTCCAGGAGCACCACCCAGCCTCCGGGAGCACCACCCAGCCTCCAGGAGCACCACCCAGCCTCCGGGAGAATTGAATTCAGCCTCCAGGAGCACCATCCAGCTCCAGGAGCACCTCACCCAGCCTCCAGGAGCACCACTCCAGCCTCCAGGAGCACCCGCCACACCCAGCCTGGGAGCATTCACCCAGCCTCCAGGAGCACCACCCAGCCTGGAGCACCCAGCCCGGGAGCATCACCCAGCCTCCAGGAGCACCACCCAGCCTCCAGGAGCACCACCCAGCCTCCAGGAGCACCACCCAGCCTCCAGGGAGCACCCTACACCCAGCCTCCAGGAGTTAATTCACACCCAGCCTCCGGGAGCTAATTCACCCAGCCTCCAGGAGCACCCTCACCCAGCCTCCGGGAGCATCACCCAGCCCCGAGGAGCAATCTCATCCAGCCCAGGAGCACCACCCAGCCTCCAGGAGCACCACACTGAGCCTGGGAGCACCACCCAGCTCCAGGAGCACCACCCAGCCTCCAGGAGCACCACCACACCCGGGAGCACCACCTGAGCTCCGGGAGCACCCTCACCCAGGCCTCCAGGAGCACCACACCCAGCCTCCAGGAGCAAGCACCACCTGTGCCTCCAGGGCATCTCACATCCACCCGGGGCACCACCCAGCTCCCGGAGCACCACCAGCCTCCAGGAGCACCACACTCAGCCTCCAGGAGCACCACCCAGCCTCCAGGGCACCACATCCAGCCTTCCGGGGCACCACCCAGCCTCCAGGAGCACCATCCAGCCTCCAGGGGTACCTCATCCAGCCTCCTGGGGCACCACACCCAGCCTCCAGGAGCACCATCCAGCCTCCGGGGCACCACCCAGCTCCAGGAGCACCACCCAGCCTCCAGGGGCACCATCCAGCCTCCGCGGGCACCACCCAGCCTCCAGGAGCAATCTCACATCCAAAGTCAAGTTCACCCAGCCTGCAGGAGCAATCTCACACCCAGCCTCCGGGAGCACCACCCAGCCTCCGGGGCACACACACCCAGCCTTCCACAGGAGCAATCACACCTGTGCCTCCAGGAGCACCACCCAGTTCCTCCAGGAGCGCCACCCAGCTTCCAGGAGCAATCTCACCCAGCCCGGGAACACCACCCAGCCTTCTCCGGGAGCACCACCCAGCTCCAGGAGCACCACCCACCCAGCCTTCCGGGGCACCACCCAGCCTCCAGGAGCACCACCCAGCTCTCCAGGAGCACCCTCACCCAGCCTCCTCCGGAGCACCACCCAGCCCGGGGCACCCACCAGCCTGGAGCACCACACCCAGCTCTCCAGGAGCAACTCACCCAGCCTCCAGGACACCACCCAGCCTCCGGGGGCACCACCAGCCTTCTCCGGGAGCACCACACCCAGCCTTCCAGGAGCACTTCACCCAGCTCCGGGAACACCTCACCCAGCCTGGGAGCACCACCCAGCCCAGGAGCACCACCCAGCTTCCGGGGTACCCTCACACCCAGCCTCCGGGAGCACCCCACCCAGCCCAGGACACTCCAGCCTGGTGAACACCACCCAGCCTCCGGGAGCACCACGGAGAACCATCCAGCCTCAGGGGCACCACTACAGCCTCCGGAGCACTACCCAGCCTCCAGGAGCACCATCCAGCCTCCAGGAGCACCACCCAGCCTCCAGAGCACCATCCAGCCTCCAGGAGAACCATCCAGCCTCCGGGGCACCACCCATCCTCCGGGAGCACCACCCAGCCTCCGGGGCACCATCCAGCCTCCGGAGCACTACCCAGCCTCCAGGAGCACCATCCAGCCTCCAGGAGCACCACCCAGCCTCCAGGAGCACCAACCAGCCTCCAGGAGAACCATCCAGCCTCCGGGGGCACCCCATCCTCCAGGAGCACCACCCATCCTCCGGCTAAACCACCCAGCCTCCAGAAGCACCACCCAGCCTCCAGGGCACTACCCAGCCTCCAGGAGCACCATCCAGCCTCCAGGAGCACCACCCAGCCTCAGGAGAACCATCCAGCCTCCGTGGGCACCACCCATCCTCCGGGAGCACCACCCAGCCTCCGGGGGCACCACCCATCCTCCGGGAGCACCACCCAGCCTCCGGGGGAACCATCCAGCCTCTGGGGCACCATCAAGCTACCAGGGGCACCATCCAGCCTCCGGGGGCACCATCCTAGCCGCCGGGGGCACCCAGCCTCCCAGGCAGCCCAGCCTCCAAGAGCACCACCCAGCTTCCTGGAGCACCACCGGCCTCCGGGGCACCACCCAGCCTCCGGGGGTCCCCAGCCTCCAGCACCACCCAGCATCCAGGAGCACCACCTCCGAGCACCACCCAGCCTGCTGGGCACCACCCAGCCTCCAGGAGCACCATCCAGCCTCCAGGACCACGCCCAGCTGGGAACCACCAGCCTCCAGGAACACCACCCAGCCTCCGAGACCACCACCCAGCCTCCGGAGAGCACCATCCAGCCTCTGGGGCACCACCCAGCCTCCAGGGCACCACCCAGCCTCCAGGAGCACCACCCAGCCTCCAGGAGCACCACCCAGCTTCCGGGAAGAACCACCCAGCCTCTGGGGGCACCACCCAGCCTCGGGGGCATCCCCCAGCCTCCAGGAGCACCACCCAGCCTCCAGGAGCACCATCCAGCCTCCTGGGGCACCATCCAGCCTCCGGGAGCACCACCTAGCCTCCTGGAGCACCACGCAGCCTCCGGGGGCATCCCCCAGCCTCCAGCTAAACCACCCAGCCTCCAGGTGCAGCATCCAGCCTCCAGCGCACCATCCAGCCTCCGGGGCACCATCCAGCCTCCAGGGGGCACCATCCAGCCCAGGGGCACCACAGCCTCCGGGAGCATCACCCAGCCTCCGGGAGCACCACCCAGCCTCCTGGGCACCCAGCCTCCAGGAGCACCATCCAGCCTTCAGGGGCACCACCCATCCTCCAGGAGCACCACCCAGGCTTCGGGGAACCACATCCTCAGGCACCACCCAGCCTCCGGGGCATCCCAGCCTCCAGCAAAACACCCAGCCACCAGGAGCACCATCCAGCCTCCGGGGGCTTCACCCAGCCTCCGAGAGCACCATCCACCCTCCAGGGCGCCGTCACCCTCCTGAAACACCACCCAGCCTCCAGGGCACCACAGCCTCCTGGGAGCACCATCCAGCCTCCGGTTGCACCATCCAGCCTCCGAGGGCACCACCCAGCCTCCGGGAGCACCACCCAGCCTCCAGGAAACCATCCAGCTTCAGGGAAAACCCCATAGCCTCTGGGAGCCACTACTCAGCCCTCGGAGGCACCTCCCAGCCTCCAGGAGCACCATCCAGCCTCCGGGGCACCATCCAGCCTCCGGGGGCACCATCAGCCTCAGGAGCTCACAGCCTCCTGGAGCACCATCCAGAATCCAGGAAACCACCCAGCCTCCAGGAAACTACCCAGCCTTCGGGAGCACCACCCAGCCTCCGGCACCATCCAGCCTCCGGGGCACCTTCCAGCCTCAGGCTCCATCGAGCCTCCGGGGCACCATCCAGCCTCCTTGGGCACCATCCAGCCTTCAGGGGCATCATCCAGCCTCCGGGGGCACCATCCAGCCTCCAGGAAACCACACAGCCTCAAGGTGCACCCTCCGGCCTCCGGGGGCACCTCCCAGCTTCCAGGAAACCAGGCAGCCTCTGGGAAACCACACAGCCTCCAAAGAAACCATCCAGCCTCCAGGGCACCACCCAGCCTCCGGCAGGCACCATCCAGCCTCCGGGGCACCTTCCAGCCTCCGGAGGCTCCATCAGCCTCCGGGGCACCATCCAGCCTCCTTGGGCACCATCCAGCCTCCGGGGGCATCATCCAGCCTCGGGGGCACCATCCAGCCTCAAGAAACCACACAGCCTCAGGTGCACCCTCGGCCTCCGGGGGCACCTCCCAGCTCAGGAAACCAGGCAGCCTCCTGGGAAACCACCAGCCTCCAGGGAAACCATCCAGCCTCCAGGAGCACCCCCAGCCTCCGGGGCACCCAGCCTCCAGGAGCACCTAGCCTCGGGGCACCAGCCAGCCTCCGGGGGCACCATCCAGCCTCCTTGGGCACCATCCAGCCTCCATGGGCATCATCCAGCCTCAGGGCACCATCCAGCCTCCAGGAAACCACACAGCCTCAAGGTGCACCCTCGGCCTCCAGGGGCACCTCCCATTCCAGAGGCAGGCAGCCTCTAGGAAACCACACAGCCTCCAGGAAACCATCCAGCCTCCAGGAGCACCACCCAGCCTCAGGGCACCACCCAGCCTCCGAGCACCAGCTTCCGGAAGAACCACCCAGCCTCCGGGGCAACACCCAGCCTCCGGGGCATCCCAGCCTCCAGGAGCACCACCCAGCCTCCAGGAGCACCATCCAGCCTCCTGGGGCACCATCCAGCCTCCGGGAGCACCCAGCCTCCTGGAGCACACAGGCCTCCGGGGCATCCCCAGCCTACAGCTAAACCACCCAGCCTCCAGGTGCATCCAGCCTCCAGCAACACCATCCAGCCTCCGGGGCACCATCCAGCCTTCAGGGGCACCATCCAGCCCGCTGGGGCACCACCCAGCCTCCGGGAGCATCACCCAGCCTCAGGAGCACCACCCAGCCTCCAGGAGCACCATCCAGCCTCCAGGGCACCATCCAGCCTTCAGGGCACCACATCCTCCGGGAGCACCACCCAGGCTGGGACCACCCATCCTCCGAAGCACCACCCAGCCTCAGGGGTCCCCAGCCTCCACAAAACACCCAGCCAAAGGGCACCATCCAGCCTCCGGGGCTTCACCCAGCCTCCGGAAGCACCATCCACCCTCCAGGGGCGCCGTCACCCTCCTGAAACACCACCCAGCCTCCAGGAGCACCACCCAGCCTCCTGGGCACCATCCAGCCTCCAGTTGCACCATCCAGCCTCCGAGGCACCACCCAGCCTCCGGGAGCACCACCCAGCCTCCAGGAAAACCATCCAGCTTCCAGGAAAACCCCACAGCTCTGGGAGCACCACTCAGCCTCCGGGGCACCTCCCAGCCTCCAGGAGCACCATCCAGCCTCCGGGGGCCATCCAGCCTCCAGGGGGCACCATCAAGCCTCAGGAGCTCCACCCAGCCTCCTGGAGCACCATCCAGAATCCAGAAACCACCCAGCCTCCAGGGAAACACCCAGCCTTCGGGAGCACCACCAGCCTCCGGCGGGCACCATCCAGCCTCCTGGGGCACCTTCCAGCCTCCAGAGCTCCATCGAGCCTCCGGGGCACATCAGCCTCCTTGGGCACCATCCAGCCTCGGGGGCATCATCCAGCCTCCGGGGCACCATCCAGCCTCCAGGAAACCACACAGCCTCAGGTGCACCCTCGGCCTCCAGGGCACCTCCCAGCTTCCAAAACCAGGCAGCCTCTAGGGAAACCACACAGCCTCCAAGAAACCATCAGCCTCCGGGAGCACCACGGCTCCGGCGGCACCATCCAGCCTCCGGGGGCACCTTCCAGCCTCCGGAGGCTCCATCCAGCCTCCGGGGCACCATCCAGCCTCCTTGGGCACCATCCAGCCTCCGGGGGCATCATCCAGCCTCCGGGGGCACCATCCAGCCTCAGGGAAACCACACAGCCTCAAGGTGCACCCTCGGCCTCCGGGGCACCTCCCAGCTTCCAGGAAACCAGGCAGCCTCTAGGGGAAACCACACAGCCTCAGGAAACCATCCAGCCTCCGGGAGCACCCCCAGCCTCCGGAGCACCCAGCCTCCAGGAGCACTACCCAGCCTCCGGGGGCACAGCCAGCCTCCGGGGCACCATCCAGCCTCCATGGGCACTCAGCCCTCCATGGGCATCATCCAGCCTCCAGGGCACCATCCAGCCTCCAGGAAACCACACAGCCTCAAGGTGCACCCTCGGCCTCCGGGCACCTCCCAGCTTCCAGGGGAAACCAGGCAGCCTCTGGGGAAACCACACACAGCCTCCAGGGGAAACCATCCAGCCTCCAGGAGCACCACCCAGCCTCCAGGAGCACCACCCAGCCTCCAGGAGCACCACCCAGCTTCGGAAGAACCCAGCCTCCGGGAGCACCCCAGCCTCCGGGGCCCCACCTCCAGGGCACCACCCAGCCTCCAGGAGCACCATCCAGCCCAGGAGCACCATCCAGCCTCCAGGAGCACCATCCAGCCTCCGGGGCACCACCAGCTCCGGAGCACCACCCAGCCTCCGGGGCCACACCATCCTCCGGGAGCACCACCCCAGCCTCGGGGCACCCACCCAGCCTCCAGGAGCACCACCCAGCCTCCAGAGCACCATCCAGCCTCCAGGAGCACCACCCAGCCTCCAGGAGCACCATCCAGCCCGGGGCACCACACCCACCTCCGGGGAGCACCACCCAGCCTCCGGGGCCACCACCCAGCCTCCGGGAGCACCACCCAGCCTCCTGGGGAACCACTCCAGCCTCAGAGCACCACTGGCTACCAGGCACCATCCAGCCTCCGGGGCACCATCCACGTCAGCACCACCCAGCCTCCGGAGCACCACCCAGCCTCCAAGAGCACCCAGCCTGAGCACCACCCAGCCTCCGGGAGCACCACACCACCGGGGCATCCCAGCCTCCAGAGCACCACCCAGCCTCCAGGAGCACCACCCAGCCTCCAGGGGCACCACCCAGCCTGCTGGAGCACCACCCAGCCTCCAGGAGCACCATCCAGCCTCCAGGAGCACACCCAGCCTCCAGGGAGCACCACCCAGCCTCCAGAACACCACCCAGCCTGAGACCACCACCCAGCCTCCGGAAGCACCACTCCAGCCTCTGGAGCACCACTCCAGCCTCCAGGAGCACCACCCCAGCCTCCAGGAACCACCCAGCCTCCAGAGCACCACCCAGCCTGAAGCACCACCCAGCCTCTGGGGAGCACCACCCAGCCTCCGGGGCATCCCCAGCCTCCAGGAGCACCACCCAGCCTCCAGGAGAGCACCACTCCAGCCTCCAGGGCACCATCCAGCCTCCGGGGAGCACCACCCAGCCTCCTGAGCACCACCCAGCTCCGGGGCACCCCCCAGCCTCCAGCAAACCACCTCCAGGGCAGCATCCAGCCTCCAGCGACACCATCCAGCCTCCGGGGGCACCATCCAGCCTCCGGGGGCACCCATCCAGCCGCCGGGGGGCACCACCCAGCCTGGGAGCACCACCCAGCCTCCAGGAGCACCACCCAGCCTGGAGCACCACCCAGCCTCCAGGAGCACCATCCAGCCTCAAGCACCACCATCCCCAGGAGCACCACCCAGCTCTGGAAGAACCACCCAGCCTCTGGGGAGCACCACCCAGCCTCCGGGGGCATCCCCCAGCCTCCAGGAGACCACCCAGCCTCCAGAGCACCATCCAGCCTCCTGGGGCACCATCCAGCCTCCGGGAGCACCACCCAGCCTCCTGAGCACCACAAGCTCCGGGGGCATCCCAGCCTCCAGCGGAACCACCCAGCCCAGGTGCAGCATCCAGCCCAGCGACACCCACATCCAGCCTCCGGGGGCACCATCCAGCCTCCAGGGTGCACCATCCAGCCGTGTCAGCACCACTGAGCCTGGGAGCATCACCAGCCTCCGGGAGCACCACACCCAGCCTCCTGGAGCACCACCCAGCCTCCAGGAGCACCATCCAGCCTCAGCACCACCATCCTCCGGGAGCACCACCCAGCCTCCGGGGAACCACTCCAGCCTCCGGAGAGCCCACCCAGCCTCGGGGCATCCCCCAGCCTCTGCAGCACACACCCAGCCTCACAGGAGCACCATCCAGCCTCCGGGCCTACCCAGCCTCCGGGAGCACCATCCACCCCAGAGCGCGTCCACCCTCCAGGAACACACCCAGCCTCCAGGAGCACCACCCAGCCTCCAGGGAGCACCATCCAGCCTCCAGTTGCACCATCCAGCCTGAGGGCACCACCCAGCCTGGAGCACCACTCCAGCCTCCAGGAAAACCATCCAGCTCTGGTGAAACCCCATAGCCACCTGGGAGCACCACCAGCCTCCGGGGGCACCTCCCAGCCTCCAGGAGCACCATCCTGCCTCCGGGGGCACCATCCAGCCTCCGGGGGCACCATCGAGCCTCCAGGAGCTCCACCCAGCCTCCTGGAGCACCATCCAGAATCCAGGGAAACCACCCAGCCTCCAGGGAAACTACCCAGCCTCCGGGAGCACCACCCAGCCTCCGGGGGCACCTTCCAGCCTCCGGAGGCCCATCGAGCCTCCGGGGGCACCATCCAGCCTCCTGGGCACCATCCAGCCTCCGGGGCATCATCCAGCCTCCGGGGCACCATCCAGCCCAGGGAAACCACACAGCCTCAAGGTGCACCTCCGGGGCACCTCCCAGCTTCCAGGAAACCAGGCAGTCAGAAACCACAGCTCCAGAAACCATCCAGCCTCCAGGAGCACCCCCAGCCCAGCACCCAGCCTGGGAGCCACCCAGCCTCCGGGGGCACCATCCAAGCCTCCGGGGCACCATCCAGCCTCCTGGGCACCATCCAGCCTCCAGGGCATCATCCAGGCCTCCTGGGGCATCCAGCCTCCAGGGAAACCACACCACACCAAGGTGCACCCTCGGCCCTCCGGGGGCACCTCCCAGCTTCCAGGGAAACCAGGCAGCCTCTAGGAAACCACCACAGCCTCCAGGGAAACCATCCAGCCTCCAGGGGGCACCACCCAGCCTCCAGGAGCACCACCCAGCCTCCAGGAGCACCACCCAGCCTGAAAGCACCACCCAGCCTCCGGGAGCAAGTGCCACCCAGCCTCCAGCACATGTAACTGAACGAAGCACACTGA